AAAAATGGACATTGGCTTCCTCCTAGAGCATATAGCCTTGGGTCAGTATCATGAAATATGATACTCTAAACTCCATCCCTGAATATGTCCAGCTGTAGAACTGTAGGGTTCTGGGTGCCTGATGCCTTCTAGCAGGTAAATCCTGCCATCCTAGACTAGAATAGATCTCTCATGTTAAATGTGGACAAAACATCTAAAAAGAGGGGTAGCTTACACTAGATATAGGTTGTTCAACTTGATCAGGTGTGCGCACAGATGTTGGCTAACTACTGTTGGGGATTATAACAAGTTGATCTGAAACTTGTTTTCTTTACACATGGTAAAGAGAAGTGGGTGGAGAAACACAGAGGAAGAAGGAACTAAACCTCGGCAACATCTGACTAGCCGCCACTAGGACAGCGACCAAAATAACTCAGTGACCGACCACATTGGCCAGTGTCACTGTGCGCAACTGGCAGTCGCTGTTACTCCAGGTTGTGCAGATCTAGGAATAAAGTGCTAGGCTGAAGAGCCGTCTGGGGCATGTGCGCTTTCCAGTCCCTCGCTGGCCTCCCATAACCTGCACGCCTCTTGCTCCAGGGCCCCGTCCCCTCTGCCATGGTCACTCCCAGCACCCTACATCCCGGAAGTAGGTCTCACTCACCCTTGTGGCAGTGGGACAGAAAGTAGGCTCGGGCTTTCAGGTTCTCTCTGTCGAAGCGGTCAATGGAAATGGTGGGATACTCAGCCATCTGTCCCTCAAAGGAACTCATAGCGCCGCAGAGAACTGAACCCCTAGCCGGCAGCGAAAGCCGAGGCTGACACAGATCGGACCGCCACTTCCGGGAGCCTTTACACCGCCTCTCCATTGGTCGGCCGAATGCAGCCACGACCAATCAGAGGAGCCTAGCGGCTGAGGGCGGTGCCAAGGAGCATCCATAGATTCCCGCCGCCTCCACCTCAGGTTTAAATGTCGGAGCTGAGCTGCAGTCAGTGAGCCTGTGGCTTCACCTAGAGTGGGGTCGCCCGACCCGGTGGGATCAAGGGCCTGGAACAAAGAGTAGCATTCCTGTGAAGTGGGCTGCGGAGTTGGCTCTAAATCTGACTGCGTTCCTTTTCTTGTCTTTCTAAAACCAAGCTTGTTTTTCTCCTCGCAATTTCCAAAGCCATGAGGATCCCATATGAAAATTTCATACTCAGGGTAGATTCCATACTTAGCCGTTCGCTCCTCCGTATATATTCATGATCTACAAATTTAGGGAATAACTATCTCTAATAATTACAGCTCAGAAGCACGCTCTTAGGGCAAAGACGTAGCGATCCCTGCAGTGTCTTATCTGCTTGCTTCTTCCAGCCTCCTCCCCGCCCCCCTACCCCTGTTTAAGCTGTATTTTTAGGAAGTTAGAATATACAAATGGATGATGGGGAAAGCTCTGAAGAGGTTTATTAAAGTGTTAAGACCCACCAAATATGTAGTCACAATGGCATTTATTGTGCCTCTCCCCAGCAAGTTTCTCTAGACAATACAGTATTATTATTAATCACAAAAACTGGAACACTTTTAAAATCCTGCTTATACAATGACACTGTGACAAGCCTTATGGTGGTTACATAGGTTTAAAAGTACCTTCAAATAGTGGTCCATCAGTTTGGAGACCACCTGTTTGCAGATTATGGTAAATCAGAGCCTCCGCGGAGATACAAAATGATATGAGAACAAAGCCAGAAACATGAAGTTCTAACCAGGGGAATCAGGAATCAGTGGGCCATAGTCAGAGAACAGCAGCTTATCCTTGCAGCGGATACTCAGAGGTTTATTTATGTACAGATTCTCATGAAATCTCAATGAAGAGGAGAGGGAAGGGGAAGGAAAGAAAGAGCAGTGGAGTGGAGAGGTATAAACACCATAATCACTAATTTAAGTAAAATAGTCTACCACTCTACTACTACCAAACCATTTTTGGTATAAGATGTTTTTTTCCTAGAATAAAAGAGGGCTATTGCTTTGGGGAAGTATGTAACAACAAATTCTGTAGAGAGTCTGATATCTACAGAATCTTGAAGAATGTGGAGCTTCTAGAGAGTCAAGACAGGAAAATGCTTATACTATTATTCATCTGCTCATTTATTTATCTCCCCTTTTTTCACAATTGGATACAATACAAAATAATATAGGGAAATAAAGTCAAGGAGAGGGAAGGATAGGACAAATAATGAAGATGGCTAAGCACAGCCCACGGGTACACATATACAAGTACTTATATGAAAGGCAGGACCTGGATTTGGCTCTTTAAGAGGCCAAAGGAAAGAAGAAAACACAATAATTTCCGAGTTTGAGGCATTCCTAAATTATAAATAATTTTCAGAAGAAGTCCAAGCTTGGATGCTGAATCCTGAGAGTAATTTCTCCAGCGGATGTTTGTTTAAAAAAATAAAGCAAAGCTGTGAGATGCACAACAGTGTCACCTACAGTTTTCTGCATCCTCATTCCCTAGTTGGAAATCTCCATCTTTCAGCAATCTCACAACTCTTTCAATTTCTACATCTTTGATTCCTTTTATCCCAACAAGACTGAAAACTTCCAATAAGCTTATGTTGAAAACCTAAAAATTCATTATTGAAGGGCTGAGGGTGTTGCTTAATGGTAGAACATGTGCTTAGCATGTGTGAGGCCCTGAACTCAATCCCCATTATTAAAAAATAATTATACATTTAGATAGATAGATCATTGTTGGGAAGTCACATTAGAATATATTTTACTTAATTTAATATACTTAAAAATCGTTGTCAATGTAAATAACTTTCGTTATAATTTATTGTCTTATTCTATTCTTTTAGAATATAATATTATGTTATTCTAGGGGATATACAATAAGATATAAAAAGTGTATTCGTTTGCTAGGGTTTCATAACAAGTAGCACATACTGGGTGGTTTAAACAACAGAAATTTATCATCTCAGTTCTGAAGGCTACAAGTGCAAGACCAAGCTGTTAGGTTGGTTCCTTCAGAGGACTGTGAGGAAGAAACTGTTCCATACCCCTCCCATAGCTTCTAGTGGTTAGCTGTCAATCATTAGTGTTCCTTGACTTGAAAAAAGTGTTCCTTTTATTTAAAAGCTTTGACGTATCTTCACCTGGGCTTCTCCCCATGTGCATGCTTGTGTTCATACTTCTCCCTTTTATAAAGTACAGAAATCATGTTGAATTAGGGAGGAGTTCACACTTCTCTAGTAAGATATCATCTTGCATAATTATAACTCCTGTCACCCTATTCCAAAAATTGACATATTCTTAGGTGCTGAGGGTCCAGATGTCAACATTTGGATTTGAAAAGAACACAATTTAACTCATAAGAAAAAGCAATGTAAAATACAAAGTTTATTACCTTTTTAATAAAAAGAAAGAAAAATGGGTTTAGAAGTAAGCAGAGAAATGTTTGGATTCATTCAAGTTAACATTCCAAAATAAACAGATAGGAGGCTCAGAGTCTAGTCACTAGATGGTGGAGGCCCTGGTTACAGTCTGAGTCCTTCCTATTAGTGTGATCTTGGCTAAGTTAACCAACCTCTCTGAAACTTGGTTTTCTCACCTGTAAGATTAAGATGGAAGTAATAAACAACAACAAAAAGTCCAATCACTGGAGAAATGGTAATTTCTCAATAAATTTCAGGAATTATTTTTCATTTGGCATCTATTAAGGACCCAGCACATGCCTTAAATAGGAGGCACATGAAGGAATCAGTCATAGCCTATAAAGACTTGTAATACAGTCTCGCAGAAGGAGAAACCCATGGGAACAAATAAATACAAATACAAGAGTTTGGTAGGAATTTTAATGGAAGTGTTCCCAAAGTATAGTGTTGGGACAAACCGGGGACCTTAATTTTGCAAAGAAAAAGAGACTATCAGAAAACTTAGTAGAGAAAGTAAATTTGAGTTTAGCTTTCAGACCTAAGACTAGATGAAGTCCCTAGAACAATCTTTTACTCAATCTGAGCCCTGAAATTAGTTCTGTTTAACCTAAGTATTGGGCTCAAAAGGGGCAAAATAATGGAGACATAAAAGGGAAGTGAAGACTGAACAAGCTAAGTAGGAATCACACTATAAAGGAACTGTACCCCAAGCTAAGCCTTTTAAATTTTGAACTTGAGCAGCAGTGGGAAACCTGGCCTTGAGTTAAACAAGGAGTGGGAGGCAAGATTAGAATAGTATTTATCAAAGTGTAGACACTGAGTTTTTAGTAATTATGTTTAAAAAGTTTCTTTAATTTGAAGTTTATGTAACTTAATTTGTAATAACATGGCTATGTTCAATAACTAGCTAACAAAATTCCTAAAATTTTAACTCTTAGTTGTTGTGATCCCTAATGAGCTGACTCTAGTACACCACTGCCTCTTTTTTATACTTCAATTTATGAGTGAATATTTATTCTATGTTCAACGTGTATATCTTGCATTTTCTTTCTTTCACTAACTTTTAGTGTAGATGGTATTTTGAATATAATAATTAAGATGTTAGAAAAGAATTAAAGCTATAGATATAATTGGTTGCATGTTTACTAATTGTCAGGCATTATATTCTATTCCATGGACTAGTTCATAGTGGTCTCCATGCTCTGATTCACTTTCTTAGGAATTCTGTCTGGAATTTAAGAAACATCAATAATACCTTTCACGTTCCACCTCTAGTTAGGAGTAAGACTCAGGAGTAAGCTCCTATCCTGGATTGACATTGGTTTGGAAAATGGGACTCTACTGTACCAAAAAATAAAAAAGGAGGGGGCAGTGCCTGAGGGAACTGGGCGGAGTCTAGGGCGGGGCGGGGCCTAAGAGCGACTGCTGGAGCAGCGCTTTCGCGTTGCTAGGAGACGCGAGGGTCGCTGAAGCAAGGACAGTTGGCCTGTAGCTGGCCCAGCCCACGGATTCCGAGAGCTCGAACACGTTTGCGACCGCCTGTCCCCTGGCCTCTCCGACTTCTCTTGCTTGGCTGAGCGAGGGTAACCACGAGAGCTGGCCCAGGGGTGGGTGGCTGAGCCGCCAAGGACCGGGGCCCGGACCAGCCCCTGAGCCCGGCTGGGCCCCCCGCCCCGGAAGCCCGGGCTCCACCCCTTCCGCCCTGCGGATGCTCGGTATCTTAGAGATTCGCAGTTTGTTCTCGGTACTTAACTTGTCTCACCTGTCGTTTTTAGTATAGATCTTTGGTCCCTGCTAAACTCCAGCGTGATTGTCCTATAAATTTCCGGGCCTTCCAGCGCCCTCTTTGGCTTCCAGGACGGCGACTGTGAGGGCTGAGCCTTTGGACCCAGTGTTCAGAGTACTTTCTCAATCCGTTTTTCCTGGGTAGATTATGCCTCAAAGACATAGTCGGTGATTTCTGGTAGAAAGAAAGTTTGAGGGAGTGGGGACATCCTGCTAGCTTGCGGGGGGGGGGTGCGGTGGGGGGCGCGAAAAGGGTGGTTTTGGCTTTGTGCTGCGAGTGTGTTCGAACACCTGGCCCTCAGACCGCAAACGCACGTTGAGGGGACCAACTGCTTTGTTTTTCAACTGAGCTGGAAAAGACACTGGGAGAGGAAGTGCGCGAACTTGAGAGACCTTCTAATGTTTACCTTTCACCTTAGGAAACTAAGGCCCAGATATATTCATTCGTGGCCAGAGTTACGCGCAAAAGGCCTCCTTGGCCAGATCCAGCTGCTACCCGTTAGGAACAAATGATGAAATGAAAAAAGAAATGAAAGATTAAGAAGGCTGATACTCATAGGGGTTTAATATCACTAGCAGTTAAAAAAAAAACAAAAAAGAAAACAACACTTAAGAATATAAAGGAGAAGAAAAGAGGCTTTGCAGAGAAGGGAGTTTGAAGTGACTGACACTACATCAGAAGCATGTACTGTTAAGTACAACTTTAGATGTCGGCAGGGACTTGAGATTGGTCCCCCCCCCCCCAACACCACCAAGTACCACATAAATCCTGGTAGTATTTAATAAAAATTGAATATCCACAAATTAGAAACTCATGCATTGCCATTATCTGTTTGTGGAAATGAAACAGTATTATATAGAGGCAAAAAGTATTTTTTATCCTTTTTTTTTTTTTTTTGCTGTCACTATCATTAAAGAAACCACTTAGTGGAAAAATGCTGATTGCTACTAGCAGAAGTAGTGCCACTGACTTCCCCAGAATCACTGCAATAATCAAGGAATTAGGTTGATATTTCCTAATTTCAGTTTCATTATGTTTTTAATAAAGTGGAAATAAGAGAGACAAAAAAAAATGTCGAATTTGCACTGCCTCAGTATAGCACGGTTACAGTAGTCACTAGGGTTCCTGTTATGTTGAAAATTACATTCATTTTCCCTTTAGATATTTTGGGGAAATGAAATTTCGAGATGCCCAATAATATTTACAAGATATATATTTTTTCTGAAACAACTGGTGATTTCCAGCAGTACAACTGAATTAGCATGTTTTCTATTCTTCTATTAAATGTAGCATTTTTATATGTGTAGTTGACATGACTGACCTGAAAGTGACAAAAAGTTATGGAGATGACATTCAGTAAAACAATTTTTGAATGAACATGAACAAATAAAAAGTGTTTTATTATGTATCAGAAAACCAAGCCAAAATTGAAAAATGCCTTGGGGAGAACATAAATTAAGATTGTAGCACTTTATTTATAAAAGTAATATAAGTAATACAGCCACTAAATTCATATAAAAACATGTAATCTTTTAAAACATCATTTTGTTACATATATATAATATTCTGCATGAAATTGCATGTAATATAAATATACATTACATGTATATTTTAACACATGTCCAACTTATTTATCTAGTGTATTGTGCAACAGTGATTTAATAAACTCCCTATTAAAATGAATGGAAAGACAAGAATTTTTACTGAAACATGGCTTATTTATTGTTTTGTCAGGCATTCCAAATTTTACATAAATTAATACAATGCCCTAATAATGACTTGCTTTAAATGCAACATGAGCCTAAATCTAAATCCATAATTAAGGATCAGAAGTTTTTAAAAACTCACTAACAAAACCCTAATTTTCTTTGGTCATGTTGGTATGCACATTGAAAAAATGCAAACAATGATACTAATGATAGATCCACTTATGTAGTTGCTGCTTTCATCAGAAGAACTATGTGATTCAAATGACTTCATTTAAATTACCTTAAGTCTGGAACTAAGTCCAAACAAATGTGGGAATTATGGTTTCAAAATAAAATGTAAATGCCATACTCCAGAATGTTAAAAAAAGTAACCAAAATCTAGAGGAAACAAATTTCCTTATTTTTCATAGAAAAGAGTACATCAGTAGTGTAACTGATATGCAGAGTTAATGCAAGTGACTCTTTAGTTTGGCCTCCTGCTAATTTTCATTATCTTTTATTAATCAAAGAAGGAAATTTTAAGCTACATCTTTATGTTGAGGAAATATTCACCTGAAATTCAGCAAGTCTGCCACTTTTTCCTTTTCCAATTTTTTTCCCTGTTAAATCCAGGAATGATACATTTGTTACTCTTGTGGAAGCGTTTATGATAAAACTTCTTTCTATAACTTCTCAAGTCTATCCTAATTAATTCATTATGTTTGGGATGATCACTCAATGTCAAAGGTAGATATTTCTAACCTATATAATGATTATTTTGCCTCCCTTTTTTGTACTTTAATGTGTCACTTAGCCTTTTTTTACCCTGATAAGCATTTGTCATTGTGATTGAAAAAACTAAGAAAATGCTAATTGACTCATAAGATCTACTTTATGAAGTCTGTATTTCAGTCAATAGAAATATATTTTACTAGAAGAATGGATTTAAGGAATCAGATGAAAATTCTGGGCATTCTTTTCAGTTAAATGATATGTTTTGGTAACAGAGTAAGAAGAAGCTGAAAAAAACAAGTGCAAGATTATGTTCAACGGTACGGCAATAACCTCGTATGCAAAAGGCCTTGGGCTTGAGCTCCAGCACTGAAAAAAAAAAAAATCAATCCAACAAACAAAAACTGGCTAAAGAGGTTTGGGGAATGGACAATTACATAAACTAGAGTTGGATATTAGAATTTCCAAGACCATTAGTGATTTCCTACACTGTTTACAAATCAATAATAGCCATACAATTTGCAAATTTGTGTTAGTTTTCTTCTCACGTTGGTGTATACAGAATTGGGTGCCACAGTGACCTGAGTAAATGGATTGCAGTAATTGGGATATATCCTAGCAATTAAGAAGTGAAAAATGAAGAAACCATTGTTTCCCAGCCATGAGTGAGAAGACTGATTTTACATCCCCTTTTTAAGGAAAAAAAAGGGGGGTGGGGGGAGTGAAAGAGAGATACAGTTACTAATATAATTAAATGGAATGGTGGTGGGATATTTTGACAATCTGCCGAGCAGGTACAAATAAGAACATTTTAAGAAATGTGCAAACTATTGCCCCCAGGACTGGTATGCAGCTCTTAGGATATTACTCCAAACTCCAAGTACAATTTTATATGATGAAGAAACAAACAGTTCTCTGTGTAGGGAGAGGTTTCTTTGTTGGTTTTCCAAATTACAGCATGAATCCTTTAGAATCTTAAAATTGAGTGTTAAAAAATTTACACGTTTAAACTGGGGTTCTCAACTCAATATATATTAATTTTTAAGTGTTACATTTGAAAATTTTTATTATTAAGTTATCTATTAATGTTGTTTTAACATCTTTCAGAAATAATTGGTAATAAGGCCTGTGTAGCCATGGCTAGTTCTGACGTGAAACCAAAATCAATAAGTCGTGCCAAAAAATGGTCAGAAGAGATAGAAAATTTGTACAGATTTCAACAAGCAGGATATCGGGATGAAATTGAATATAAACAAGTGAAACAAGTATCTATGGTAAGATTTATGCCTCTACAAACCTGAACTTGAAACGAGTCTGTTAGAGGATAAAAAGAATTTTAAAAACAAAACAAAACAAACAAAAATCTGAAGGGAATTCTACTGCAACTCTCATTTTATTGAGGAGGACACCAAGGCCCAGAAAAGTGATTTGCCAGGCTGACTGGGCAAAGAGGTAGTCCCTTGACTGGGGGCAGTTCAAAATTTTTAGCTTTTATTGAACAGCCAGGCTCAGCTAAAAGAATATATCCTGGCAGAAAAAAAGGGTAATTCTATTATCAATTATTCAATTTGTTGTATACTATTATCTCCCTTCTGTTTATTTATTTTAACCATGATTCAGAAAGGAATTATGTTTTTATGGGGATTATACTTGGAAAAATAAAAACACTGTTAGAGAACAAATCTTGACTTTGGTTGCACATTCCAAGCTTTTCTGAGAGAGCAGAGACATTGTTTTGTTGTTCAAAGACTAGACTGGGATCTTTGTAGCAGTTATAATGTAATTTCTTTTAACTCAATTATTCTACTGGCTACTAGGAGAGTTTTTAAGATTCTCATAGAATTGGGCATAGTATTCATAAAATTTAAAATTTAGGACATTTAATAATATATTTAAATTTTTATAATACTCAATCATAATAGTTAATATTTAAATTTTGAGTTATAACAGTTATTTTACCTAAGTTTTAGGAATTTTTTATTGTTCTATTTTTTTTAACTCACTATTTTTGAGAAACTGGTTGTGAATTTTTCAGATCTCTATAATCTTTCTTCTGCATTCTACTTTTTTTCTATTTAATACTTTCTATAAAAGTCGATAAGAAAAGATGTAGAGGAAATACAGAGCTAAAATGTAATATGCTCTTTAATCGACTTGAATTTAATAGACATTAATTTGACAGAATTGGTGAGAAATGAAGTTAAAAATACTGATCTAATGAAGAGTTACTGTGATTTTCATATATCCATCTCTTCATATATACAAACATTTTACTCTGGCCTCCTTAGTTTTCATTACTGCACCATCTGTGGCTTTTAAATAGGAAAAACTAGAATCATTGTCATTTTAACCCATTTTGTCCCATCATCACAGATGTAGAACAACTATACAAACTTAAATATAGTATCTTATTATAATAAGAATATGTAATAATAATAATGCTAATATAAGATAATTAATATAATTAATAAGAATATGTAATAATACTAATATGCATAAAAGCTTTAGAATATTATTTCTTACCTATTTTAATGCACCCATGTCAACTTGCTGAAATATTTGCAGAAAAGAAAACTTGGAACTCAATAGGTTAGTGCTATTTAAAAATAAGCTTTATTCCTTGCCTTAAATTGAGATGCTTGGTCTGATGTAGCACAGTGGTACTGTGCTTGCCTAGCATGTTTGAGGCTCTGGGTTTGATCCTCAACACCAGGGGGCAAAAAGGATTGGGATGTTCCTAAAGATACTCAAGACCCAGGATCATAGAGGCAGTGTGAAACACAACATACTTTGTGTTATAATCATGCCTGCCCTAAATCCCCATACCTAATAATGTTATTTAAGAGAACACAGAATACAGCCTTAATGAGAAAGTTCCAAAAAGCAACCAAGAGTGGTGTGTTTTTGTTATTTTTTTTTGTGTGTATCTGTGTGCAAAAGTTGTCATGTTTACTTTTATTACTTGGTAATTATAGAGGCTTTGTGTTTTCATTTAATATATATTTATTGGATACCTGCTGCATGCAAATTTTTGTGCCAAAGGCTTTAAAAGATAAAAATAGAGAGTGCCTGACTGCAAGAAATCCAGTGAACTCATGGAAGAGTACAAGCCTTTTGGAATCAGTTATAGGTTGGCCTCACCTCTTCAAGCTGATTGGCCTGTACAAGGTTCTCAACTTCACTGAGCTTCTATTTCCTCATCTATGTTTTATGGTAGTACCTGCTTTAAAAAACTGCCAAAGAAATTAAATGAATTGTGTTTGCAGTGCCTAGCAGTGTGGTGCTCATAATAATTTGTTGAGTGAATAGAACTGTTAATTAACTATTAATGCTGTCATTAATGATTGATAGCTTTCTTATTATCTTGGAATAGAAAATAGGTAACAATCACACACACACACATACACACACACACACACACTCACACACACACACAAATATATATAATGCCAGGTACAGTGGTGTATGCCAGTAATCCCAGCTGCTTAAGAAGCTTAGGCAGGAGGATCTTGAGTCCACAGCCAGTCTCACAACAGTGAGGTGCTAAGCAGTGAGACCCTGTTTTAAATAAAATACAAAATAGGAAAATAGGGCTGGGGATGTGGTTCAGTGGTTGAGTACTCCTGAGTTTAGTCTCCCATACAAAAAAAAAAGAAAGAAAGAAAAAATATATGCAAGTCAAAGTATATGTACCTTAAGAAGAAGCACAGAAATTTAGAGGACAAAATGAGGAAAATCCTCATAAAAGTCTTTATTTCCCCAGTGGCATTTGTGGTGCTAATAAAGAAGTGATAAGGTGGAAACTGAAGGTGTGCCTTGAGTGAGATGTCCCTATCAACATGCTGAGATCTGTGGGTTTGAGAAAAGTTTTTTTCCTTATCTGAAACCTGCCCCATTGACAAGTACTATTAGTGCTTGCAGACCTCCCTGGCTAAGCAGAAGGAAATTGAACATGAGAATCCTATCATTCCATTCTATTATAGGAAGGAGGTTCCAAATCAAATGGGAGTCATCAAGTTCAAAGTCCAAAAGAAAAAAAAATAATCAAAAATGGCAAGAGGTTTAAAAAAAAACTATCTATAGAGGCCAATGAGCACAGGCCCAATATAGCTTTTTCAAAATATCATTCCATATAAGGTGGCCTCAAATGTTCTGCAGAGACACTATTTATTTACTGTGCGGGATGGTATTTGTAGTCCTGGTAAGTAATGGGAATCAGTAAGGGCAACTTGAGAATACCTCCTTTGTCTGTTGGGGGTAATGGGAGGCAGAAAGGCAGACTTGGCATACAGTGGTGAAAAGGCTTGCTGTTTTCCTACAGTGTAAATATGAGAGGGCCTGTTAAGATTTATCAGACACGCTGCTGTTTTGCTAATTCATAAGTAAACAAGAAAAAGAAAATGCAATATTAGAAAATGAAAGACCTAAAACTTAGAAAGTATGTGCATCTTTTCTTCCAATTGAAAGCTATGATTTGTAGAATATTAGAAGGAATGGCTGCCTGTATTGATGGTGGTGAAAAACAAGATTTGATTTTTCCTAAAACCTGAACAATGTGTTTTTGAGAGTGATAAAGTACATCTCACAAAATCCTGAAGGAACAAATTTAACAACAAAAATACAATAACCTGATCAAGAAGCCATAACATTGCAATTGGAAAGGAAGAGGAGAAAAATGTTCAAGTCAGGTCAAGCCATATAAGAAAGTAAGCAAACCAATATAGAATATAAGAAAGAATAGTGGGAGAAGAAAAGATTGTTGAAGACTATGTTTAATAACCTCAAATGTCTATTAAAAACTGGATTTCGAGGTGAACTTGAAATTTGAGCAGAAGGAAATACATATGTAACTTTAGATATTTTTAGTCTAGTTGCTTCCTTTTGTCCCTATATGACATTCGTAATCAGCAGATGGTGCTTTCAGAATGGGACATAGGCTTACCCCTGATTTTCTCCTTGGGGTTATTTTTATAAGTAATTACATTTGAAATCATTTATAAACATAGGAAGAATTAAGTTTATATTATTTGAAATATTTTCCTATCTGGATCACCATGTAGACATCTAATCCAAGAAATTGGGTTTCAGAGAGAAGCACTGAATTAGTTGTTCTTATAGTATAAATTTATAGCTTAAGGTCTGTTTTTTTTGTGTGTGGGTAATACACCTAAGAATACAAGCATTTTAAAATTTATACTTCAATTTTTTTGATGTAAGTGTACTTTTGACTATTTGATAGTAAAATATGAGATAAGATAAAATGGGCATTTCAATATTTATATTCTGGTTTTTGATTGTGCAGGTAGATCGATGGCCAGAGACAGGCTATGTGAAGAAACTTCAGAGAAGGGACAATACTTTTTATTACTACAACAAACAGAGGGAATGTGATGACAAAGAAGTTCACAAAGTGAAAATTTATGCTTACTAACTTTTCTTTGTATCACTTGACAATTTTTCATTGTTTGTATTCTACATCATGTAAATGTTTGTCATTTTACAAAATAATTCCAAATGCAGTCTTCCATTTAAAGTTTTGAAACACAGAAACCATGCAACTTGTTATCTGCTAATCATCCTGTCCTGTTCTAAAATGTAACTGCAGAAGTATTAAACTTGTTCCCTTGTTGCTCCATCCTCTTACTGACCATTTTAACTATGGTAGAGTAACCATTATGCATAAGGAGAACTAGCCCCCTTTGAAACCATTCCATTGATTAATCTTGGGATCTTTTTTCTTATAGCAGGTTAGTTCCACATTCAAACTCCCTGGTTGCCTTTATCTCATTTGAACTACTCATCATTTTGAAGTACCACATCTGCATTTTGCAGCCTGAGAGTCTTGCCTCTGAGTTCTTTGCTTCTTGTTGGGAAGACAAGAAATGCCAAGAATGATGTTCACTTGGAGGTAGCCTGTACCAATGACTGATGGGGAGTAGGTGTGTAAGTCCCCAGCAACCTGGTAGCACAGGAAGAGTAAGTCTGAGGTTTGTCTTCTATACTGGCTGCCAGGCTTTCCCCAGAAGGATTGAGGTTTTAGTCATCCACAAAGTATGAGACTGGATAACATACTCCTTTGGGCACTTTCCTGTTTTGCCACTTTCCCCATTTTCTACCAGTGGTTATTTCCCTCCTGAATAATTTCCTTGCACGTGAAGCCTTTCTTGCAAGGCTTTGTCACGTGGTCAGCCTCTGGGTTCCCCCATCTAAGGCTACTTCTCCACTGCTGCCTGGATTACTATAGAAAGTTTACTTTTTTACTAAGATTTTTTGTCACTATTTACAATTTCTTAACTTCAAATTTTTTGAATAGGGGTTCATATCTATCAATTCATTCAACTTTAGCCTCCATTTTTCAGAACCACTGTCTTCACCATAAAGACCTATTTTCCCATTTCAAATTTAAGCCTCGCTAGCATTCTTAAAGCAAACACATCATAAGAAGGATAAATAGGGTGGTCAGCTTCTTTTATGACTTTTCCAGTGCTTCCAGAAATCAATTTATTTATCACATCTTTCATTTTTCTGTACCTCTCTGGTCATGACTTTTATTATCTTCCAGATTTGGTAGACCTGTAGGTGTTGTTCTCTTTTTTTCCCAATTAAAAATACTACAAGCTGGGTTGGGTGGCACATGCCTGTAATCCCAGTAGCTCAGGAGGCTGAGGTAGGAGGATCATGTGTTCAAAGGCAGCCTCACCAACTTAGTGAGGAACTTAGCAACTCAGTGAAACCCTATCTCTAATAAAATATTTTAAAAGGGCTGGGAATGTGGCTCAGTGTTAAGCACCCCTGGGTTCAATCCTCAGTACCAAAACCAAAAAAAAAAAAAAAAACCCAAGCAACCCCCAAAACCATACTATGATAGGCAGAATAATTGCCTTATCTACCCCCAAAGTTGTCCATGTTCTTGCTCTTGGGATCTGTGAGATCACATGGCAAAAGAAGTTTTTATATAATTAAAGATCTTGAGTTGGAGAAATTAAACTGGATTATTGGGTGAGCCCAATGTAATCACAAGGAAGGGTCCTTATAAGAGGACAACAAGTGATCAGAGTTAGAAAAAGGAGACTTGATGACCGAAGATGTCTGATTGGTGCAAGGAGGGAACCCAAAGCCCAAGAAAGCATAAAGCTCTTGAAGCTGGAAAAGGCAACAACACGGATTCGCCCTCTAGTGTCTCAAGAAGGAACACCATCCGCTTTTACCAAATAGGATCTGTTTCAGACTTCTGGCCTTCTGAGAATGTTCTTTTCCCACCTGTTTGTTTTGACATTAATAACAATGTCAAAACACAGGGAACAGATGAAATTAATAACTATGCATCGTTTTGATGTCAACATAGTATTAAGAGTCTTGAAGTCAACATAGAATCAGTCATGATCACTGCCATTTTTTTTTTTTTTTTTACTATGGAACAATTTTGTTACAGGTAAGAACCATTCCAAGAAATTGGTTAAGAATTTTTGCCTGGAGAAATCTCAGTAATTATCCTGAATGTCCTAAATGCCATGTCATCTTTTTGAAGCAAGACTAACCTCAGAAACATGGTCTTCAGATGCCATTTTGGCTCCTTGATTTCAGATGCCATTTTGGCTCCTTGATTACAGATGCCATTTTGGCTCCTTGATTACTTGTGATTAGTGATTTCCCTATATGTCTTATCAGGGACATAGCTGGTTCTTTCACGTCATGCCACTCTTTTTTAGAATATGAAAAAACTCCTCCTTGGTTCATTTTTGCACACCTTTTATAATGTGCTTATTCTTCCTACCAACCATGATGCTGCTGAGAGAGTCTGCAAACAGTGGCAGGTGCTCTTAGTAAACATATATGTACTGTGGTGGAGATGGACCTAGGCCTTGATCATAGCAATAGCTTCCCTGCCAACAAAACTGTCCAGCCTGCTTCATGCTAGATGGCAGTGCTGAGCCTCCATTATAGGTGTTCTAACTCTCAATGGAGACTAGGGTTGCTGGTTTGAGAGAATACATTGAAGCAGAAATAGGAACAGAATGCCAAGTTTTGGTCCAATATCCAGGTATGAATGATTTTGGAGAGCCAAAATCCAATCTCCTTACTACCACCTTTAGTTCTGAATCCAGAAAAAGTACTCAGTATACTTGAAATATTTTCAGACATGACTGTGGAGAAGCACACCTCACATGAGCAGCTGTGCAGTTCATCGCATGGTGGGAGATGTCAGCTAGAAAGCAGAAAGGGAGAGAATGAGGAAGGAGCCTGAGGTCCCAATATCCCCTTTAAGGGCCTTCTATGACTTAAATTCCAACTTCCTTTCATCTCCTAAAGGTTCTACCACTTCTCAATAGTGCCATGGGCTGGGACCAAGCCTTTAACATAGGGGCTCTTGGGGACACTCAAGATCCAAATTATAGAAGTTGGCATCTGGGAACTTTGATTTCAGGAGGGCTTCCACCATTCCTTATAAGAGGCTTTCTATTCCTGGACAAATGCAAACAGCATAGTTTATGCTATTCTCCTTCTGGAAGTCTGGGATTTGGGTACATACAAGGCAGGAGGTACCTATGTGGCCAGCCCAAATAAAAATCTAGGTCACTAAGTCTGTAATGAGCTTCCCTGATACCATTTCACACTGTTGTCATACTCATTGCTGGAGGAATTGAGAGGATGTTGTGGGGCTCCACTGGGAGAAGACCCTTAAGAACTTGAACCTTGTTTCCTCTAGCTCTCATGCCATGCTCCTTTTCACTTTGCTGACTTACTTTGTATCCTTTCACTGTAGTAGATGAAAGCTATGTGTCCAATTATATACTGAATACCCTAAGCCCTCCTAGCAAACAAATCTGGGTTTTTTGGGGCAACTCAAACATGGGAAGCATATTGAGTCAATCACTAGAGTGTGTCAGAGTACAATCAAAGGCAAGAATATTAGTAGAGCAGAGGAAACTTTCTCTAAGGCAGAAGAGGTCAGCTAGGAGTCACTGATCAGCAGCAGTCCCCAGCTCAGACTGATAGTTTTAAATGGACTCTACTTTCCACAAGTCTCCTGATGAAGTGAGTGTCTGATGGAAAGGGGTAGATGATATGTTTCAAAATTAGAAAATATGAATTTAAGACTCTGCCTCAGTGCTGCTGGTATATTTGCTATTTAATAGAATATGATGAGGTCTTCCACCAAGGCTTAAGTGCAATTTTTTTTCTGGTATTTTTTCCAGCACCCTGAATATGTTTTTCCACTGTTCCTAGGGTGCTCAGTCCACATGATTTTTTTTTAGTTCTTAATTTCACAGGAATTGCCTAAGATAGTTCCAAGCAGATGTTGTCCAAGACATTGGTTCATCAGACTTGCAAGTTTTGACAACATCTATTCAGATTGTATGAGGAAACTTCAGGGCCAGTGCCACCTCCGCAGGCTCTTGGAATGCCTTATTCATGAAAACCTCATCCACACCACATGCAATATATTAACATGTCCCAAGAATCTACTTGGTAATTATTTTTTTTGCCTTGGGAAATTAGAAAAGATTTTGAATGTTTGACATTTTGGCAAAACTTCATTCATATTAATCACTACCCATTAGTGCCAATGATGTCACCCCAGGCTTCACTTTAAAATCTTCAATTTTAAATGAATTCATGTCTTGCCCACCAACTGGAATGATGGTCAGAGAATGAAGATCTTCTTGACCCATGGATATAGATTATGTGTTAAAACAATAGGTTTCATCATAGTAATCACTACCCATTAGTGCCAATGATGTCACCCCAGGCTTAACTTTAAAATCTTCAGGGCAGATTTTCGCAAGGATGCTAGGACCTGGTTCCAAACTTACTAAATCAAAAATACCTGGGGATGTTATGTGAGCATCCAAGTTTTTTCAGAGCACTGAAAGGCAACTTTTGTGAATTGGCAGGGCTCAGAATCCCTGTATTAGTGGCTCCTAAGATCACTATATTCTCACAACCATCATTAAAAAGAACTAAGTAGAAAAAAATACAAGTATGAACTGTTTTGCTATGAATTGTAATTTTTTTCTGACATGTATGTCAAGTAAAAATTAATGACCACATCTGAAGCGCAATTTAATCAGGCCCTTTAAGGAGAATATTGCCACCTTTTAAGCCCAGATTATCGTATGTCTCACCTCAGGCCAATTAGAGCAAATACTGGGCTGTTAAACAGAGCAACCTCCATGCCATCTTTTTCTCACTATGTATCCCTTACCCCCACCCTCAGCAAGTCAGCAATGCTCTGAAAAGATGGATACAGAGAGTATGCTGGCCAGCAGAGAGGCTATAAGATTGAAAACAAAAGTAGTAGTCTGGTTGCCCTATACTTTCTGATTCTATCCTTAGCTTGCTCTGCTCCAGACACACTGGCCACCTCCTCCTTCCAACAGACCAAGCACACTCCCACCTCATGGCTTTTAGCTTTAACTCTAGGTAGGCATCTGTACGTTTCACTCTGCTTGAATGCCACCTTTGCAGAGAGGCCTCTAGTGGTTAAAATATGAGTCCCATTTTCTCCCTTTCTTACCCTACCTACCATTTTAGTCAATGGTTTTATTTTACTCCACTGAAATGTCAAGTAAGAGCTTTGTTTCATATACAGCTGGGGTCTTTAGGACATAGGACAGTGGCATAGAGGCTTGAATTTT